GGTAACCCATAGCATTTGTCATCAAACACTTGTGGATCTTCTGCTCCACATCCGTCGTTACCTCCTGCGCTGCAATCGATCGCTTGTAGGACTGAACAGGTGTCACAGGTTTTGAGTTTTCTGTGGCTGGCTGACCTGTTCTGGTTCCCTCCTGAAGTTGGTGTTTGACCTCTGCACCCCATCTCCAGTTCAGGTGTGATATCTCGGTCACACTGCTCTCAGCTTTGCGTCGTCCTGCTGACGTGTCGACGCAGGTCACTTCCTGAGAGAGCTGACTGGCCCACAGCGGGTTTCGTGGTTTTACATCAGCTCACAGGTTGGTACCGGTTTCAGCTAACTGATCCACTTGGTTTGTGGTTTAACATTAGCTCAGCCGGTGACGGTGGTTTGTGTCACTTCCGTCTTGGACTGCAAGTCAGCAGTTTAGCCATGTCTTTCATGCTTCCTCCATCTTGGATTGTAGGTATCCACCTCCTTCTGAACACACCTACAAGTCAAAGATCCACAGCAGGATGCCACAGACACAGACCAATTTGCATTCAGTTAGATATGCGTTCAACTTCCACAGCTGCTTGCCCAAAGGAACTCAGATCCTCTGAAGTCTTCTCCTGAGTCTGCCATTCCTGCATTCGGAGAGTATCAGGACATGACATAGCAAACCATCTTGTGTTGCAATCACAATACCTTCCTGGTTGTTGAGGGTCAATGGGGCACAAAGTTTCTTGTGTCCGATCTGTGTCCTTTGATGTTTTCTGCAGGAACCAATGCAGCCAGCCACTGATCTTTATCACCTGTTAATCGAGTTGCACATCACATCACAGCAGGACACAAATCAAGGAGTCTCCCAGCCTGTCTTGCCTAGGGAACAATTTGCATTTAGGAAAACAGTGTACCCAAAAGTTGTGCTGCCTAATTGTTTAAATTAATAAACATTGATGTCTGGTTTAGCATGAAACTAGTCATATATGGTCTGTCCTAAATTATCACAAACCAAATAAAACACATACACATTCTTTAACACTAGCTTGTCTCAAAAGGAGTTTATCAGAGATTCTATCACACTAAGGCGGAGTTAACACACTCACGTCACAGAGGCTTCAAAGGGTTTTTCACAAACGGGTGCCACAAGAGACGTCCAGTCTAGCTTGATTTAGCTGCTTAGGCTCACACATTTGCATTCAGGCAAAAGGCATTCTAATTTAAATGAACTAGCTCGTCTCCACCTTGTAAGGTAATCAAAACTTTATCAGTTACACCACCCCCTCCTGTGGAGGTAGGCCTCTCACACATCTACAGGATCTAAATTAATCAAAAGGAAGTCACTCAGATTTATTAAACCTTATAACCCAAACAGAAAAGAAATGATGGTAATAGCTCAAATGTTGAAATAGTTACAAAACAGCCTTACTGTTGAGTAAAATAAAATACTACGATTAGCATTTATGGTCTGTAGGGGCTGAGTTGATGTTTACATTTCAACCAAGATTTGCATAGAAATAGCATACAGGAAGAATCTAGCACCGTGTTGATTCAATCATGCTATTAAATTAAATCTATCAATGGTCGATAAGACACATTTAACGGGAAGTTTTACCAGTCAACTGAGTAAAGTCTGCTTATGGCAGGAACACCAAGTTTAACATGATTTAGTCATATGATAAAATGCGGAGACACAAAAACTATTACTGCATAGTGTAGAATTCTATTTACCTAAGATCATAACATGGTAACACTAGCTTACATCTATCAGATTAGAAAATTTAAACAATAGGTCTCATAAAATCAGAATGTTCAAATTAAACCACGTACACCAGGCTGAAATATTTAGTTTGGGGCTGTTTAAACTATCTATATGGAACTGTCTAAAGTTTGCATTCCAGTAAAGGAACAGCCTACCACGTGTGAAATAGAGACCATCTTGAGTCAAAGTTGTATTTTTAATCTTGGTTCATGAGCAAAAGGTATCTTCGGATCCAGAGTAGCTGCTGCACAGCTAATCTACCAGAGCTATCAGAAAAGAGTGTCATTTTAAAATGGCATAAGCTAGTTATAAGGTTATGTGCCTCTTAAAACACAAAATCATGAATTTTCCCTTCTAATTCTGTAATTTGGGGTCAAATCTATCAATAAAAGATTAGGGGAACTACTTAGGTCTAACTACATGATCTTTTAGAAAGAGTATTTATTTATTTTAATAAAATAATAAAAGGCCTGTAGACCAGAATATCTAATTTAATTTGAGGCAATCGCGTGAATCATCTCCATCATATTTGGCCAACCATTCAGCTTGTGAAGCTGAAGGAGTTAGAGGATGGATGCATTTATCCCTGCTTAATTGTATTTCCTTAACATTCTATCTACGTCTAATTATCTCACCTCCTTTCTGTCTGTCACACACACACCCACTCACTCACTTTTTGCTCATTTCTAATTAGAATTTTGAAAATAAAGATTTCAGAACCAACCATTTCTGTCCCTACGTACTATATCTAATCATCACTTCCTCAAACATTTCTTTACAACTTTCTATTTGCCTTCTCTCTTTTCTCCACCTGTCTCCTCTGCCTCCCTTTCTGCCTTTCTTTCCTCTCCGTCTCACCTGTCCAATATTTCCTTCTTCCATTCGCCTTTCTTCTAACTTCTCACACTCTTTCCATATCTGATTGCAGCCTTACCAAATCCCCCCACTGCAATAAACTAACACTTCGCTGTCTCTTCACTTCTTACCCTTTGTTCCTTTGTTCCTATATCCCATAAACACACACACACACACACACACACACACACACACACACACACACACACACACACACACACACACACACACACACACACACACACACACACACACACACACACACACACACACACACACACACACACACAGACAGACAGATCAGGACCGACACAGAACCCATCCACAGGTTTCACACACAAACCTCAGTAACACACATTGTCATGTAATGGGACCTTCAGAACCTTGGCCCAAAACTTCTCTCACACACTCACAAACAGAAACGGACCTGCAGGCTTTCACTCACACCCATTCAGAACTTGGACACAACCCCACCCCCAGATCAGACCAGATCCGGTTAGGCCCAAAACCCTTTACTCATACACAGACAGAGCAAAACTCTGTCAGAAATTAACATGCCAGTCCTCAGCGTCACCTTTCAACAATACACAACACGGAAACCGGCAAGTCCACCCACAAAAATGGAACGCAGCCCCATGTCACACATAACAGACTGGGAAATTAGACCAACTTGAGATCTTAAAGCCAAATAACGGTGATTAATTTGGAGTATTTTTGTAGCACCTAAAAACATTTGAGTTTACATAAGTGATTTTGCATAATCCAACCCTATTACGACCCACATTCCGTCGTGGGATGTCTTATGTACGCAGACAAAAGACTGAATTACAACCTCCCTCCGTTCGCCTCTCCTCTCTCAGATTACTATCCGCTTTACCGTGGCTACACATCACCTCTCCCCCAGTGCCGCAGGCATGCTGCCAAGCTATGGCGTTTAAAGCGTGCCACAACCCGTGCACGCGCATTGGGTCCACAGCGCGCGTGTGAACGGGACTCGCGAGCGAAAATATACATGGCAGCGCGCGTGTGAACGGGACTCGCGAGCGGAAATATACATGGCGAGAGGTCATTTGTGCACTGAGAGGGAGCAAACTGTGTCTGTGAGCGCACAAGGATGTGCACAAGTGACAAACCTGCGTGCGCGCGTTGTCAACGAGCACACGGCAGAGGAGAACGTGCGCGCGCGGCAGCCTCTGTGCGCGCTCGGCAGCCTCTCTGCGCGCTCGGTTTCTGACTCCTGCTCGCTCGGCTGTAAGGGCTTTTGGCACTCTGGAGGCGTGGCCTGTGGCAGATCTTCTCTGTCCTCTGATTGGTTAGTTTACCCCGCACTTTACCCTCTATCTATATAAAAAAGTCTGATATTCAGTAGTTGCTGGCATAGCTCAGCTGGGAGAGCGGGTAACTCTTGGCCCGGAGGATCCAGGTTCGAGTCCGGGCAAGGAAAATGCAGTAGATGTCATGTTAATTTTTCTTAATTTCAGGTATTTTACAGTTGTGACCGTTCAACTGTCATTAAACGTCTGAATGTTTGCTGGGCAGTGTTTTAAAAAGTGCACATAAGCTAGATGGTTTTAACCATATAAAATTACATTTTTGGTGATACTGGAAAAATACATACTGAAATAAAACTACTGGTTGAAAACTTTGACTGTGGTTGTACAATATATGACTCACTAATACACTGCAAACTCCCTTAGAGTGGGGCTTCCAGAGAGAGAGAGAGAGAGAGAGAGAGAGAGAGAGAGAGAGAGAGAGAGAGAGAGAGAGAGAGAGAGAGAGAGAGAGAGAGAGAGAGAGAGAGAGAGAGAGAGAGAGAGAGAGAGAGAGAGAGAGAGAGAGAGAGAGAGAGAGAGAGAGAGAGAGAGAGAGAGAGAGAGAGAGAGAGAGAGAGAGAGAGAGAGAGAGAGAGAGAGAGAGAGAGAGAGAGAGAGAGAGAGAGAGAGGTTCTTGCCTCATTAATGTATTGTTTATTTTTTTTCAGTATTTAATTGACAAATTATCCTTTCAAATAATTAATTGATGAGTTACATAATTGTCCATTTAGAATTGTTGAATGGACTGAGTCAAGTTTGGTGCACTTTATATATTTCAAAACATGTTTTTTTTTAATGATGCATATAAATAATTTAAATGTTAATTTAATGAAATATTTCTATTTTTTCATCACCTCACCCTTGTTTTGACAAAAACGGAACCTTGCTGGATAATATCATGGAGAAACTATTTGTTCACAGTACATGGCTCAGTGAGGATCTGTGTACCAAAGGAGGAGATACTCAGAAATCTGTCTGCAGATTGTTACAACCCAGACTGGAAGTGGTGGGCTGTAATAAGAAAGGAGACCAAACAGAGGAGTGGGGGTTCAACAACTGATTTATTTAACAAAAGTAAGGATTGCCTTGCATATCCACACTTGGTTCAGAACTAACATCACACCACCAAACACTTCTGACATTATCTTTACAGGGAAGATTTTCTAATGGCTGGTGTTGAGGCCTTAGCTGATGACCTAGATTTGGATCCTTTTGAAGAAAGGTAAATATGTTCATGAGAAGTCTTGCCATATATGCAGGAAATTACTGCTGTAATATGTGTAAAAAAGATAAAAACACAATAGTTCAGCAAATATATGTCATTATATATATATTTATGTTGTGAAGTGTCAATTCACAGCAGATTGTTGTTATTTGCAGAAAGAATTAATGACAGATGTATTAGGCTCCACATTTATCTCTTTAGAATCAGTACCATTTCAGGTAAGTTCTAGTTTTTATCTTTACGTACAACAAATATTATTGTGTTGTCTGTAGTTTCAAATCCATGGATCTAGCTACGGATGCAGTCCAAATTGATGTGGACCAAGCAAACAACTTACTCAACAGTGTGTGAGTTGCAATGTCTTCTTATCTAGGGGTGGGCAATATAAACGATATAAGGTAGAAATGATATAAAATTGGGTAATTTTACGGCCCCCCAGCTCGTCTAGGAGATGATGTTAAAGGGGGCGTAAAGAAAGATATGTGAATTACCGGACAAAACCAAGATTTACTCTCTTAGAGGAGTTTATTAACTAAAAAACACTGCTTTATGCAGGCTAAGACAAAATGAATACAAAACCAAAAGGACGTCCCACTGGGGAATTAACAATACTAAACAGAAGGATCATCCAATACAGGGTAAATAACAATACTATTAATAAACACAAAACGCCGGTACTAATCCGGGAAAGTAAAGGAATGAGACAAACACAAAAGGCTACACCAAAAGGGTGAGCTGAACTCTTTAACGAGTATTCTAATGGAGACAAAAACGAGCTCTGGCTACTAGGAAGTGTACCACACAGGTAATCAAAACGAAGACTTTAACGTCTGGTTTGCTAGGAGGGAAAAAGAGGAACACTCGCTTTAACACCAGGCCTCTGCTAAGCTTCCCTCCTCGAATGATAGAGGGAGCTGCCTTTTATAGGAAGCTCCCTGACTGAGAAGATTAGCGACACCTGGCTCAGCTAGAGCCAGGTGAACAGGTAGGAGCTCTGAGGCCACCTTGTGGCCACAAAACAGACAACGTCTGTAACAGGTAATGATAGTTTTTGGCTATATCGCAATACGGCGATATTGTGATAACACATGACGTCACTAAGATGTGCACCCTGCTGACAATGGGACAACAGAATGGCGGTGACTGCAAGCATGGAGTGGGCGGAGGAGGAGGCCTATATGCCTCAAGTGGCATATATTTGCCACATGAGGATATCTAAAAGCATGTCAATTTGACATCTATAAACAGATGAAAAAATATATCGCAATATATATCGTTACTGCACATGCTTCAGATTATATCGCAATATAGATTTGAGGCCATATTACCCAGCCCTATTCTTATCTACACTCTTTTTTTAAACTCCAAAGTCTTAAAACAATATATTAATTCTACTTTTATTTATTGTTTTCATAACAGAATAGAACTGTTATGAAAACTTTGTCAGGCTGACGAAGTTTGCAGCCGCAAACAAAACGTTGCAGGTAAATAAAACCCTTCTATGTTTTAAAAAGAACTAAAAGATGGAATTGTTGTTTTATCCTTGTTCACAGGCTGGGATCCTAAAGGCAATTTCCATCCTACTTGTGTGGCTGAAGGACATCTTCAACCAATTTTGGTACATTTGTCAGAAAGCACAACATTGTGATATGTTTAATGTAAGTATTGTGACATCTTTTGGACAACAAGACAACAATGCACATTGACATAATTACCTTTCTTTTCATAATAGTGCCAGCTCTCGTGTTTCTGTTGGTGAGCGCTTCTGTCACATGTAAAGTTTTCAAATAAAACTTATTTTTTCTGTTAGGACATGTGGGTGGGTGTGCTTCACCATGTCACAGGGAAGCATGAATGGACCCGTGGCAAATGTGACCATGGACCACTTGATGCAACAGCCAGTGATTAAAGAGCTCATGGTACCATGATCTCCACCACACGAGGCTCTTCAACGAATCATGTTCAACAGACGCTGGTTGAAGGATGCCACCAATTTGACCTTTAGGTATATTAATAACATTTTCATAAGCAAAAAAGCTAAAGTGTCAATATCAAAGCTGAAAATTTACATATAGAAATGACAATTGTGGGTGAAAAGGCAATCAAAAGTGTGATTCCTAATAATCTATAAAGTTGTAGCTTTTGTTTTTTTACAGGTCAACTTCAGAACTGGAGAGTTTCCAGAACTGCATTCTCATGTAATCTATGTATGATCTAATGCTACTGTTCTCTCTCCATAAAGGCCCCAGCTACATGAAGCATCAAAAGACAGGAATGACTTCTTTCATGCACACAGATTTATTAGAAATTAAGAAAAAATACTATGTACAAATGCAAATAACAGAACTTTTTTGTACATAAAAATAAATAAATATATTGCACAAACTGTTTGTTCATTTTTGGGTGAAAATGCTGTCTTCAGCTAAAGTTATTTTGAGGTATTGTGCTGTTTTGGAACTACTGTAGTTGTAGATAAACGGTTAGGATTTTTGGGTTAGGGTGCCCTCAGTCAGGAAGACGGTGTCCTGGCGTCTCTTGCCGAAACTCCAGGATATCCAGCATCACCCCTGGAAGACGGGTCACCACTCTCTCGAGAATATAATCTCTCTCCTCCTGGCTCAGGTGTTGTAAAGCTGTCTAGAAATTAAAGAGCATATGTTTACATGACTAGATTCATATCTCCAGTGAGTGATGTTTTCGTTTTTGGCATCTATTATTTTATTTTATTTTTTTACACAAATGGCTACAACCAACCTGCATCTCAGCTATACTGGCAGCTCTCAGCTGTACAAGCCGGTCTCGGTCCTCTTCTTTGAAAGCTGTTCGCTGCCTACCCCGGTGCCCTGGTCCTCTTGAAGGAGCTCTGGACCTCAACCTGCTGCCCTCACCCCTTGAGTGTGTCCTTCCCCGACCCTCGGAGCGACCTTTTCCTCTCCCCTTTCCTTTAGCCCCTGGTCTCAGACTTTCCCACGACACATCAAAGTCTGTGGCAGGCTCGGGCACACTCCATCTGAACTGTCTTCCATCACTGCTTCCAATATGAATTCCTGAAAATCAATGACAGTAATGATAAAAATGACTATTACCCTGTAGGTCTTGTTGATATTATGATTTTATTTTGATGCATTTTTTGAACTAAACATTGATATTTATGTTCTTATTTACATTGTTGTGATGCCTGTCCTGTAATGAAATTGGTTTCACAAATGATGTCAGTGACTTGAAATTGGATGTTCTTACATGATGTATAAACATTAGCTTGTTAGTAAGCTTAGTGCAAAATAATAACTGTAATTGGTCTAAAAACATCAGAAATCACCTGCAGCCACAAAGCCTTATGCTGATAAAGTAGCATCATGTTACTGTCTTGCTAACCAGTCACAAAACTGGCTTATGAATATTTCATAGGAAGGAGCACTTGCTTTACATCACGAGTGTCATGGCTAAATTAAAATGCTAATGTTGTCATGGAACTTTACAAATATTAGACTAAAGTAACAATGTTACTTACTTCATCGCTCGACACGGTGTCTTGTTCGAGCCGCGCTCTGGCCGTACATCACTGTAACTTTTTTTTTTTCTCGTGAAGAGTTTGTGCGCGCTCTCGTGCCGGGCTGCAGTTACTCACAGTGCCGAGTGCGTCGCTAATGAGTTTCGTTTCTTCATCCTGCCCCATGCTCCTTTAAATGTTTGAAACAACGTGTGAAGCGGTCCCGTGGGTGGAAGGGTGAATGAAGCATCGTTGCTCATTGGTCACGTGACTTTCAGTAAACAAATCAAGCTCCGACACAGTGCTTTGCTCTGCGGTGGTTCGTTTTACTCGTTCGTTTTGGTGATACAAGCTTCGAATCCTGCGTGTCACAGGTAACATCACTAGCGGCTGGCCAGTAGAGGGCGATAGGGCGCCGCCCTCCCAGTTTCCCCACTGTTTTTAATTTTTATTTAAAAAAATAAATAAACAAAATTAACAATAATCACATATTCTAAGTTAATTGTGTGTTTTGTAACAAAAATAAATCACACACACACACATATATTTATATATATATATATATATATATATATATATATATATATATATATATATATATATATATATATATATCTATGTTGGTCTCTGCCGATCTCTGCCGGTCTCTGTCGAGCGGTGGAGGCTGTGTGCTGTTTTTCAATTGCCCAAACAGGACGAGACCAGCTGTCCAATTGCTGACAAGAAAATCAAAGGGTAGGAATGGGAATGTATCCAATCAGCATCGACGTTGTTTCAGAACGTTTCAGAAGCATGATGGGCGATAGAGCTACCGCCAAGGCTTTTGTTGGTGTTCGGTAGAACTCGGAGAGTCTCGACTCCAGCACGTTTTTGGTCGTGACTCGTGACGGTCGTGACGCAGACGTAGACATGGACGTCAGTGCGCCTACGACATGGATACCAGATCTCAGCAGCCACTGAATTCAGTTCGGTCTCCTCCAGTATCCGTTTGAGAGGAGAACTATGGTGGAAAAACTTAATGTCAAAGAGCTTGGACCAGATCAGCCCGACGTAAAGATAAGCCAGCAGGAGAAGGAGAAGGGTAAACTGTACACACGACGCTTCTCCCAAAATTGATACACCAGGAAGCAGTAGCTAGCTGGATGCAATCACGCTAATGCGTTATTTTGCTTTCTGTGTTTGTTATTCAAAACGGCTGGGATCCACAGAAGGTGGATGTGGAACTTGTGTCTCATTGGGGACTCCATTCATTCTCTGACTGAGGAATGCAGCGCATCAGTGCAGCAGCCAACAAAGAAACGGAGGACGTTTGGACAGGGAGAACAGCAGCTGGGTGCAGAGGTAAGCTGTACATTACATTTCTGTAAACAAGGCAATCAGAATCAGAAATCCTTGGTTGTCCCACAAACCGGGACATTTGTTTAATAACATGTTTAATGTGCAATAACTGTAAAAACTAATTTCAACACACATACTTATTATACATATTTAATTATGTAAATGTGTATTTCAAGTAAATTTGTACATACATCAATCTGATTCCATTTTACTTGTTACACTTCTGCTGCAGCAAACACATTTCCCAGCTTTTGGGACAGTAAAACATTTCTGATTTGTCCCAAAAAGTGGGAAATATGACATTTGTAAGAGGATACTGATGACATTATTTCCTATGAAAGTGTTTCCACTTTCCATAAGTCCTAACAGTGTAAATTTCTGGCATTTTGTCTAAGTAGTGTTTACTACCATTACTGTAACAGTGACCTGCTCATAATTTTTGGTGTTCACTCAAATGTTGAAATTAAACAAAATGTTTTTGTTACTTGCCTCTTGCATTGCCTATTTACCATTTATGGTCGTGTTATTTTATGTGCAATTTAATGCAGTATTTTTCAACCTTGGTCTGCAAGGCAGCGTGCCAATAGTCAGACACACCTGGATTAATCAGTTTGTCCAATGATGTAAGACAGGAAATAAAAGAGCTGTGCTTAATTCAGGAAATAGTGAAGTTGTGCACAAAGCTCAGAAAGCACAAGTTTGTTAAAAAAAAACAGCACAGCCCCACCAAAAATATTTTTCACCAGCCGCCACTGAGCAATTCTACAAAACATACTCTACGATGTGTTTCACCAAATGCATGCATTACTGTTTGTTACTGTACACAGGACAATTGTGAAACTGCATTTCTGTCTCTCAAGCGTGTACTGGAGCTGGAAGCCAGGGAACCACTGCACACATTCATATATGTTGATGAGGCAGGTTTCAATCTGGCCAAAGGCAGAAGGCGTGGAAGAAATCGCATTGGACAGAGAGCAACCACTGAAGTCCCTGGTCAGCGCGGAGGAATACTACCATGTGTGCAGTCAACGGCGTCCTCACCCATATCCCCCTTCTTGGTCCATACAATACCCAACATCTCCTGATATTTTTAGACACGCTTTACAGGGACCTAGTCCCTGAGAATGAGAGGGGTGGAGGCCAACTCAGCAAGTATGTTGTTGTCTGGGATAATGTCCGTTTTCACCACTCCCATCTGGTCAGAGAGTGGTTTGCAGCACATGAAAGAATGCTGGTTGAATATCTCTGATAGGTAATTTTTCATTTATCCCATATTACCTTAAAGGACCACACACAGAGAGAGAGTAGATTATTCGTAATGCCCATGAGCGCGAATCAACATGTGAGAAGCTGGCCGCAAAAATTCCAGACCCCACTCTGCTCCAGCCTCAAAGCCTCCAGCCCCCACTATGCCTACCCGCATTCTCCACTAAGATGTTAGGTAATTAAATGTTAGGTAATATTTAATCTCCATAACCCTGGAACCTCAAATAAACACACGACATCAAGGAAGACATTTTACCCTGAGTCCCCAAAATAAAGGAGAGTTAACACAGAGAAAACCTCCTCCGAGGCTTTTCCCACGTCACTCCCATGTGTTCCCAGTTCGTCAGGGCTTTATTCACAAAGGATGGAGGAGAAGGCGGGGCCTTCTCAGGTTACAGAGGTACAGTTTTCAGTTGGAAACCCACAATCAACATCCTTGCTCAACCTTTCATGAACAGCCACAGTTGGCAAACACAGAGATTCATGAAGTGTTAATAACACAACCTGGGCATCTTTTAGACCTCAAAAAGGTACAATTATAAAAATACCCAACAATCTCCCTTCATATTCCCCATTCCTTAATCCAATAGAGAAGTTTTTCTCTGCCTGGAGGTGGAAAGTTTATGACCGGCATCCACATGAGCAAATGGCCCTGCTAGCATTGCGAGGGATGACATCCGTTGTGATGTAGATGAAAATATGTGGCCAGACAGACAGGAACGTCTGGATGTGCCAGAATGATTTACTATACCTGTATGTTACAGTACTGTGCAATACTGTATGTACTGTTACATGTACATTTTGGATAGAATTGCTCCTCTTAGGATTAGAAAGAAGAGGCCTAGGCCAGAACCATGGCTCTCTGATGATGTTCGGGCCTGCAGGCAATCCTGCAGGAGGGCAGAAAGGAAATGGAAGAAAGACAGACTCCAAGTCTCTCGTGAGATATTCAGAGAATCTTTGTTTAGCTATCAGCAAACTCTTAAGGAAGCAAGGGTGAAGTTCTTTGCTGATATCGTGGAAAAAAATTCTCACGATCCACGCTCTCTTTTTTCTGTTGTAAATTCGCTACTTGAGTTCTCTGATTCTAGCTCTTTGC